TCATGAGGTTAGAGGGAAATGCTAGCGATGAGCAAAGGAATAGTACTTGGTTTTGGATACTCAAGTAATTTTTATTTACTTAATTATGCCACTAACAAACATAATCATTACTCTAGCACAGTCATTTTTCATCTTCTACGACGGTGATAAACTGCACTCTGAAACGTTTAAACCAATTAGATGAACCAATCAAAAATATATATCATAAGCGAAACTTATTGGGGGGACCTAAGACAATTCTGGCCTTACGGCGCAACTACAGGGGAGCACCGCTGTGCACACATCATTAAAAGTTCTCGTCGTTTCCCAGCTCGTCCGTTCCTTCTTTCCTAACCTCCTCCTCGTAATCGTCATCCTCATCACCATTTCCATTATAATCGCCATCGTCATTATCAATATAATCATCGCTGTCAACGTAATCAACAACTGAATGAAGGAATGAATCTATATTTCAGTGTTTGAATGGAATCATCCGTGAATTCCATTTCTCAGAATAACAAATAAGAAAGAAAATAAGCAAAAATCATAGCAAATGAATGCAAAAGGTTCAGCCGGACTCAAAACCTAGCACCATTAAAAATTGCAGAAAATAACTGTTTAGCGAAAGAACTGAAAATATTGCAGGAGGATTATCGAAGCTCCGTCATCGTCGTTGTCGTCATCAGCATCGTCCCTTCATTGTTCACTCATAATCATATTTGGCCATTATAATCATCGGCGTTTTCATCGCCATGGTAACATTCATTTCGTCATTTTTCTTATTCTAAACGACATTCTGCTTATTCTTATTTACTCTTCATAACATGGATCACTGTAAGAATCAATTTATGTTAATTCTTCTTCCTTTGATAAAATCTTCTGCCACTTCCACAGTTTCTTAGCGTCTTATGCAGCATCGGTTTTGGCCTTCTTCTTGATTATGCCTACCACTGAACTATATTGCTTGCAGAGTCTCAGATCTTTCTTTTCACGCAGAACAAACTGTAACGGAGGTTACTTTAGTCATTTTTGCGGTTAGTGCAGCCGTCCTTAATGTATCATCTATGAACCTGTTTGGTCGTTCTTGCTGACATCACACACTTGTTTATGTATT